GTAGACATTTTTCGATCCGGAATCACTACATTATTTCTTGTATACAGAGGACCGCCAAGATTGTTCTCGGACATTCTCCGTTGATTTAAAGTGTACCCAACCTTAACATGTGCGAATACGCATAAAAAAGAAAACAGAAAAACAAACTTTCAGAGAAAACCTCACATTTGCTAACTCAAGAAAATCCATGTTATTTTCTGTAAGAGGAGTTTCGTAGCCACAGTTCGGTACACGGGCGACAGCCATTTCAGCATATCCCTTAACGTTCAAAATATGATGATTTCTTCAGAGGTTTGAGCAATCGCTTCTGATATTGTGCAAACTAGTAGGTCATATAATTCCGCCAGTTCTGTAGCATAAGGCGGATTCCATTAACTGACAAAAAATATTTGTGAGACAGAAGGTGAACGTTGAGCATGATGCCAACCACCTAGCTTACTGTAAATCACAGTCAAAGTATGGAAACTTGTAGCGAGTAGGGATTGGACAAGATAATGGTGGATATGCGAAGCAGTTTCATTAAAATAGCTGTTGTGAGGTAGCAGTAGAAAGAAAATGAAGTTCTGAAAAATTGAAACACAAACAGGGTTCCCAATATCCCGGACAAAAGGAAGACAAAACCATCATTTCATCACGAAGTGAGCTTCCGAAATAAACAACAAAAGACGAATGACTAAACGATGGAATGTTGGCATATCACATTACTCGTTCTTCGAAAAGAAGAAAAAGAGAAAACAGTCGTTAAGAGAAGTGAGAAAAGAGATGGAGTATGCACATGAAAGCTCACTTGTTTTGGTCACAATCACGGAGAATAATAAGGAATAAAGTCAGAAAGCAACACGGAAATTGCATACCTTTTTATGTGGTCCTCTCATGCCCACAAACTCTTGACGCCTTCCTCCTTGCTTGACCAAATTTTGAGCCCAATGCCAAGTTGACGAAGCCTTCAAAGAAACAGCTCAACAAAATGACCCGTATCTTGAAGACATACCTTTGCGTCATAAACTTGCTTCAAGATGTCATATCTTATCGATCCAAGAAACACAACAGCTTCCCGTGTCTTCTGCCTATCGCGTGCAACAAGTTCCACACAGACACATTCACCATCTCGTACTACGATGTCTTGAAAGACCTAAATTCTCCGTCGACAGCACTATATATCGATAACTCTGTTCTGTAGGCATTTTTCAAAAAATATTTATGGGTTCCAGGGCCTGGTTGAGAGACAGACTTCTAAACCGTGAGGGAATTACTATAGTCGCTTGGATAGTCCTTGAATAAAGTCCCCTAAATAGTTTCGAAGCGAAAGCTCGATAGTCCAAGTTGCCCGGAAAAACCGAACATGACTTTCATAGGTTCAAGAAAAGGAAGTTTGTATTGTATCAGCCTACAGTTGCTTATGGCCACTACTAAAGCAATTTATCAGCACGCTATGGAAAAAACCTGCAAGCGATAGGATTCACTTCGTTTAGCCTGCTTTTCCGCTGTCAATCGGGTATACCGCGAATCCAAATCTTAAAGACTCAGAATATACCCAGACCCTTCAAATAAGCATGACCTCAATATAAATGTTATCTCAGAACGGTCTATCTACCACAATAGCCACCATTGTTCGCAAACAACAGAACATCATATTCAACATGAAAGAAGGGGATATGAATATTGGACGATACGATGGGAAGATTGCCTCACAGTAACATCCTCTCCTCCTACCCAACCATGATTTTTAGTGTAAGTATTGCAAAATGAACTGCAATCTACTTCCGAGATACGTATACAACAAACCTCTTCAAAACCATCTATGGCAAAGTAGAGTTTCGGGTAGGTGATTTCCTCACTACTTCCTTTACTATCCATGCGTCTTCTGCTTGGTGAGGGATACACCTGTAATAATATGGGTAAGGAGCTTACGAACCTTTCAAACTTGCTTCCATAGAAAGGAAAGAATCTAACAATGATGCCTATCAAAATGGTGGAACGAGATGACCAACAGGAACTAAATAATATAATGCTATAAAGAAAAGCGCAAAGGCTTTAGTGAAAAAAGCTGGTGAAGACAGCGCGCAGTAGAATGACCATATATCATGTTTTTGTTAGAGAGTGGAAATTGAAGCGGACTTGATTAAACGTTCAAAGAGAGCTTTTGCCAGGCATAAGGAACAATGACATAGTTCAATGATGAGAAAATCAAAACCACACAGTTTTGAATTTCCA